GGAGCTTGGAGTCAAGTGGTCTGGGAATGTTGCCCACTCATCCTGGATCTTCCAGTCACTTGAAGGTAACGTCGTCTTTAGCAAGTAAGTTTTCTGAAACCGTACAACTGTTAAAATGGCAGCTACACTTTGCAGAATCTTTGAGAGAATGAAATGTAATGGCACAAACAAAAGGCTCAAAAGAGTGCATGGGAACTAGAGGACACTCAATAAATATCGTTGATGACGCTGAAGGAGAAGAGAGCTGTGAGCACTGCAAAGCTCTTGCGATGCACTGCCAGGCCTGAGCCCCCATTCGCAAGGCTGCTTCTGACTCAGGCCAGTGCTCTTTCTACTATTTCGGAGGAAAAGGAAAAGGGTGACTCACATTGTGGCAGAGTGGCACTTCTGGCTGGCCTGCACCTGCTGGGGAGAGCAGGGCCCCAAGGTAACAGGGAAATATGAGCCCCCAGGGCCCAGCTGCTGGCCCATTACCTTTCCTGGGTTTCACAGGCATCCCAGGCACTAGCACCAGCCAGGGAGCCCAGGTCTCCGGTGGACACGGCCCCTCCTGGGCTCAGGTGAAGAAGTTACTTTCCCTAGTCTCACAGAGATGAAAAGGTAGACAAATGCACCCAGCAAAGAACAAGTGTACCCTGCTCCTACACATGGCTAGAACTCTGACTTGGAAAAGAAGTTGGCCCTGGCCTCAAGGGCTGTAGGGGCAGCAATATTCCAGACCTAACAAATGAACGCTAGGATTTCAAGCCCTTTTCCCAATTTTCCATGTGGCAGGATGCTCAGTTCCAGCTTTAGAACAATGAGGGGACAGGATATCAACTGCAAAATGGGCCAAGTTCACAAACACCATATTTCACAGAACAAATGGCCCATGATCGTATGGGGAAAAGTTCAGCATCATAAGTAATCAAAGAAATGCACATTAAACAGTAAGAGTGATAGAATTTATTGATGAACAGACTGGTAAAAATGAAAAACAATGAAAATACCAAGAGTTATCTGGATGTGGGAAACCAAGAGGTCCCACACAATGCTGGTGTATAAATTAGTACAATCTTTCTAGAAGGCAATCCAGGAATAGGTTTATCAAACATCTGTACAGTCTCTTTGATGGAGTAATTTCATTTCTAGGAATTTAAAGGAAAGAAAAAAGACACATATACAAGATATCCATTTTAGCATTGCTTACAATAGCAAAAAAAAAGTTGTAAACAACTTACATGAGTAACAACAAAGGACTGATTAAACACATTTTGGTTCAACTCTCAATGAAATACTACATAACCATTAAGATATTATGTAGAATATTTATTGATTGAAAAGATGTTCACAGCATCTTTGTTTGGAGGAGAAAAACCAAGTTACAAAACAGTGTGATTCCAAGTAATAAACCAGTACATTCAGAATGACTCCATTTTTGCAAAGAAGATGTGATCTACATGAACAGGAAGGAAAGAGGTTTGGAAATATACATGAACATTAACAGTGGTTATCTTTGGGTCATATTCCATACTTCTAATTTTTTTCTTTATACTTGGCAGTATTTTCTAACAATTCTATAATTAAATATTTTTAAGTGATAAGGGGTTGGAACAGATGATTTCTAAAGTCCCTGCCAACTCTGACATTTTGGGCATCTATGACTGGATGTCCCAAGCGACTTCAAACAGCCCATATTTAGTGTGGGCTTACTTGTGTGGCCTTCAGAGCCTGAGCTTTTGCCCACAGCTGCAGCCCTTTGCATTCCACCCTCCCCACACTCGCTGCCCAGCTGTCTCCCCTGCCAGCCTGGAGCTTCTGCTTGGTGGGGCCCAGCTGTACCCCTGCCTGTAATCCATGTGCCTAGCCAAGAGCTGAGCAAAGGAACACAGCTCAGCATGCTGACAGGTGCCATGTGGGCACAAAGAGATAAAAGGCACAACTCTAGCTCTAGAATCTTACAGAACACTGGACACATAAAGTGCAAGCACACATAAAGTGCTTGGTTGTATAACACAAAGAAAATCAGAAGAGAGAAAGCAGGGCAAGCGGAGCTGGGAGGCTACTAGAGTAGAGGAGAAGGCCATGCAGGATGGGGGTGGGGAGGGGGGAATTCCAGGCAAGGCACAGCCTGAGCAAAGGTGAAACCACCCAAAGTCCTTTGGGATATATGACCCAAACCTTTCCAAGAAACTTTCATAATCCTTGTTCTGCTAAATTTCTATACTTTGGTCCCAGTGGTTAAAAGTTAAGTCTCCTAAACAGAAGTCCTCCTTTCTAATCTAACCCTGGATTAGCCACTGAACACAACGAAAATCTTCTGGACAAAGACAATGAATTACTACTATTTTGTCCACTTTCTCCCAAAGCTCACAAAGGGAGAAATGGGGGAGAGGAGGGTCAGGGCAGGAGAGGGGTCACAGGAACAACCAGACAGCCCACATGCAAACACTGCTCACCCCTACCACGGACCCACTGGATGCTCCTGCCGGCACCACCAGCCCCGTTTGACAGATGGAGGAAACCCGGCTGTGAGAGTTACAATGGCTTGCTGCGGGGTCACCCAGCCAGAGAGTGGGGAAGGCGACTCCACTCAGGCCTTCTGACTCCAAGTCCAGTGCTATTTCGAGGTAACACACAGGACCTGGAGTCAGGAGCCCTGGGTGGCTCTGTCACCCTCTGGCTGCGTGGCCCCGTACAAGCCGCTCACCCCTCACGGCCTCTTTCCCCAGCTGTAAAAGGAGGCGGCGCACAGCGGCCCGCCCAGGTCCCCTCTGGATGGGCTCCATGAGCCTTCTAGGGGCGGCTGCAAAGCTCGCCCTATCAATTACATTTCCCAAGTTGGGCTGGCCAAGATCACCAGAAGATCCTCGATCTGTCACGTGGTTACATAAAAAAGGCAAATGTCCCAGATTAACTTTCATTGCACTGATCCTACTGACATCTGATTGCCCAATTTTCTAGTTTCCTTGGGCGAAATATCCCTGCTGGCTGGGCTAAACGGGCAAATAATTATTGTTGAGTCAAACACTTAAGAAGGAGTTAAAAGCCGGGTAAGGCTTTTCTTGCCATCGGGTCTCCGAACGAGTCTCCGGCTCTTTCAGGCCTCCCTCGCCCGAGCCCTAGCAGAGAGATTTGGAGACGTCCCCAGGCAATTGATCGGGACAATATCAAGGGTCAGTATCTTCCAGGAGCAACTCTGCCCCTCACCCCTGCCCCTGATCCAGTCCTCCCTAGCCCCTGGCTGTCGGCTCCCGAGCCACAGAGACTGGGACCCGCCTTCGGCGCAGACACCGGCGCGGGGCGTGTGACGGAGCCGGCGACAGCGGCGGGTGCTCCACCGCAGTTTCGTCAGAGGTAAAGGTACGCGCCCGGCGCGCGCGGCGTGTGCACACACTCACACCCGCGCGCACCACCCGCTCATCGCACTCCCCCCAGACCTCCAGAAGCGCAAGCACACGCCACCAGCCCCTTCGGCCTCTACCACAAACCCACCCGCGCGCGCCTGCCACCGACCACGAGCCCCCCGACGCAGCGGCGTCCGCTGGGGACTAGGGCCGGCCTTCCCCCGCGCGTGGGGGCTTCCTCTCGGCGACACCCCGCCACGCCGCGCCGTCCCAGCCGCCAGCCCGAAGTCGCCACCCGGAGTCCGCCCGAGATGAACGTCGCAGCTGCTGCGTCCCCTCCAAGTCGCGTTTCATCGCAAGGAGTCAGCTTGCAAGCCTCTCCCCGCCCACCCGGTCCCATGACAGCTGCTGCCGCCCAAAGACTGGCAGATTATAACAAGAAGCAAAGTTTCCCTCTCTCTCCTCCCACCTCCCGCCCCCCCTCGCCTTCCCCCTCCCTTCCAGTGTTATGCAAAGCGGGCCGGCACCAGCGCTCCCACTCCAGGTACCAAACCAGCCCCCGCGAGCCGCGCCCGGTTCCGCCCGGCGGCCCCTCTCCGCGCCCAGGCGTGCCCCAGCATCCGGGGTCTCCTCCAGGGTTCCGCCGCATCCCCGGCCTCCTGGGGACCCGCAGCCGGGCGCCAGGAGAAAAAGCCCTAACTCTGGAGCCAAACTTTATGCTTGCAACAGGCATGGGGTGGGGGCAATGGGGGAAGGGGTGGGGGGCGCGCACGCCCTGCGCAGACATTTTCGGTGGCTGTTTGTCCCAGCAGCTCCCCTCTCCCGGTCTCCAAGCCACCGGCTTCCTCGGCGCCACCCCTCCCCGCCGCACGGCACACCAGAGCACCCTCTCCTGTCACGCGCGTGTCGCCAGTGGGGCTCCCAGGCTCAGCCTGAGCCCGGGACGCCGCCTCGCATTCCCTTCCCCCTGCATCGTGGAGCGCGCGCCGGGGCCGCGCGCCGCAGGGGGACCCAGGCGCCCCCAGACAGTCCTTCCGCCCCTATCCTGCCCGGCTTTTCCCCCAGGGGGCTCCGCCAGATAGCAAAACCAGGAAGGCGCTATCTCCGCCCGCACGTCCACGTGCCCCGCAGACCCCCAAGCCCTTAGCCCACAACTGGCAGGAAACTCCCTCTGCGGGCGCCGGTGGGCAGCCGCGGGGGGCCAGCGACAGCACTCCGGGGACCAGAGGCTGGAGGACCAGGGGACTCCCAGGACAGGAGCACGCGCCTGTGCCGGGGCCACAAGTCCACGTGAAAGTACGGCAGCAAGTGCCGGGCGCTGAGGGCGCTCCTCCAGCACCCAGCGCCAGTCTGAGGGTCCCCACACCTTGGCGCGACTCCACCTCCCCAAGGAAGCGTGGTAACCCCCAGCGCTGCCCGCGGGGGGGCGGACTCCCAGCGGTCGAAGCGAGACCCTCCCCAGCGGCCGTAGCGCTCCAGCACGCGCCGGGGACCTCCCGTTCCCAGCCCCCGTAACGGAGCGCATCGCAGGGCGCGCGGGAGGGGGGCTCTGCAGCCTGGAAGCCCCAGTTCCCCCAGTGCGTCCACCGCTGCCTCCCGGCCTCCGCAGCTGCGGCTGCAGCCCCCGCAGCTCAGCACCCCTGGCCCCGGGCCCGCGCCCCCGGCGGGCCGTACCTGCGTGTCAGCGAGATAGTTAAGGAAGAAGGAGGAGAGCTCTTCGTCCAGCAGCGCGCCGCAGTCGTTCCCCGCCATCTTCCAGCCGCGGCTGCAGCGTGCGGCGGAGTCAGAGCCGAGCCGGCCCGGGGGAGGGAGCGAGCGAGCGGGCGAGGGAGGGGGGAGGCGGGAGCGAGGCCGGCGGGAGGCGGAAGGCGGAGCTCGAGCCCCCGGCTGCCGCAGGGCCGCTGGCTGCGGGGGCGGGGCCGCGCGGCGCCGGGCGAGCCGGGGGTCGCGCTCCCACTTTCCTGCGCAGCGTCTGGCGCCGCGCCGCTCCGGCAGCCCCCGGCCCGGAGGAAGGCGCCCGCAGCCGGGTGGCGGTGCCCCAGCCGGCCGCCGGCTGCCTGCGCAGCAATGCGGGCAGCCCCCCGCTCCTGCCGGAGAGAATCACGTTGCGTTAGCGCTGGGCGGGCCCTGCGAGACAACCTGCTTCTGCACAGCTGGGGAAACTGAGGCTCGGGGAGGCGTAGGAGCTCGTCTGAAGCCGCGGGGCACTACAATAGCAGGAAGGGAAAGGGCAGGTCTTACTCCCCGGAGGCTTTGAGTTTCTCTACCTAGGTTACGAAGCCAGAGAGGGAGGGAGAAATTACCATAGATCAAAGGCTGAGAAATCAGAGAAGGCTCCTCGGAGGAGGTGGCATTTTTATCTTTCCCTTGAAGGATGCGTTAGCGCATATTCTGTTAAACCTCACCATCTCTCTCCTGTCACCCCGGACACCCCACCCCCAAGAAAACTTAAATGACTTTTCCTACGGTGGCCCACGATGGCTTTTAGTGCTGGTTGTGAGCACTAAATACCACAATGGCTGGTGGTGAGGTCCTACGAGCCTCCCCAGGCTTACTGGCCTCCTCCCAGCTCCTGAGAGGAACCCTCTCGCGAGGGGCCTCTGCACCCAGCAGCCATTCACCTAGTAACCACGTCTTCAGGGCATCTTTTCCGATTACCCCCCGGACTATCCAGCCGTTCCCTCTCCTCCCGCGCCGCCGTCATGGGCTCCCCAAGCTCTGCAGGCCTTGCCTTTAGAAACTGGTAACAGTTGCCCTTTTACATTTGTTTCTGTGAGGATTTGATCTTTGTGTCTCTTTACTAGACTCTAAGAGCCATGAAAGCAGGGCCTAAATCTGCTTTTGCACTTGCTGTATTTCTAGTTCTTGGCACATAGTAGTTGCTTAATAAATAATGTGTTAACTGAAAAAGCTGCAGAATTTTGGTCGTCTGCCACCACCACCTCACACATTGTACAGATAAGGAAAGTGACAGTCAAGGGAGCCCATAGAGCGAGTGCCCCAGGCAGAACCAGAACTCAGGCCTCCTGACGCCAACCTTGAGCTCTCAGCACCGGGCCCTGCTGTGTGCCAGGCAGGAGGTGAGGGCATGGCCTGGATAAAGGCAAGAAGGCGGGAAGACGTGGGCATGCTTTATTGGGCACGCCTGCCTCCTGCCCTCCTCCCACCCCACACACATAAGGGTCGCCCCGCCCAGCCCTCCCAGCCAGGTCTCCCAGCCAGAGAGGAAGCAAAGGGAGAGTCCCCAGCACACCTGCTCAGACTTGAACACCAGAGCAAGAGCTTCCTTCTTCTCCAGCCTAAGGTTCCCAGAACCGCAGGGTGTGATTTCACTCTTCGGCTGGAGGCCAGCATGCTTTTAAGGAACAATGCATTCCAACAGAGAGCCTGCGCCTAACCTCGGAGCACAAGGCCGGGACTCAGGAGTTCTGGGTTCTGCGGTGGCCCCTGCCGCGTCTTGTTCCAGTGTCGGGCAACTCGGGAGGTTGGGAGCAGGGGCCGTGGACTCACACTGCCTGGTTTGGAAGCTTAGCAAGGCATTTAGTCTCGGGCCTGGGTTTCCTCATCTGCACAAATGGGGACCCTACTATTACTTACTTCACAGGGAAGCTTTGATGATGATGTTCGAGGAGACAGTGTATATGAAGTGCTCAGCATGGTGCCTAACCTCATGGGGAAGCATGCCAAGCCCTCTGCTCCTCTGTTTCCTCATTTGTTAAAAATGAGGATAAAATATATATCCCTTGAAGTCACTGGCCAGTGTTACTTGCCTTCCTTCCAATGCTAACAGGCTTCTGGCTTACCTTGGACCCCAGTATATTTAGATTTAGATCCTAGTGCGATCCCAGTGCCCTTGGTTATTTACTTAACCTCGCTGAGCTCCAGTTTCCTCATCTGTAAAATGGGTATAGCAGTGGTGCTGCTCCACGTGGAGATCTTGCGAGGACCCAACGAAACGATGCTTATGAATCAGATTGCCTGGCCCGGCGTCTGGCAGACAGGAAGTGCCCATCGTCACTGTCCTCACCACCCACATCATCACCATTAGCAAAGCACTTGGACGTTCCCAAGGCCCCATTTTGCTGCTGCTGCCCTGGGTACCAGAGTCAGAGTCGTCTGGGATGGTTTCCAGAGGTGTCCCTACCACATCCAGCCTGGCCTCTCACTGGTTTTGAAGCCAAACTTGAAGGGTCCCCAAGGCCAGTCTCCTCTAGCCTGGGCCTTGCAGAGCCGCCAAGCCTCTCCCTGCAGGGAAGGCCTCCACAGCTTTGTTGTTTTTAAAACTGGGCAGTTAGGCTAGGCGTGGTGGCTCACGCCTGTAATCCCAGCACCCTGGGAGGCCGAGGCGGGCGGATTGCTCGAGGTCAGGAGTTCGAAACCAGCCTGAGCAAGAGCGAGACCCTGACTCTACTATAAATAGAAAGAAATTAATTGGCCAACTTATATACAGAAAAAAATTAGCCAGGCATGGTGGCGCATGCCTGTAGTCCCAGTTACTCGGGAGGCTGAGGCAGGAGGATCGCTTGAACCCAGGAGTTTGAGGTTGCTGTAAGCTACACTGATGCCACGGCACTCACTCTAGCTTGGGCAACAAAGCAAGACTCTGTCTCAAAAAAAACTCGGATGTTGACAGAAAACCTCGCAGATTGCCTGGCCTCAAGGTCCTGCTCAATAATCCCTGCTGTGCCCTCAGAACAGGCTTCAGGCTGGCAGGATAGAAGCGTCCCCACCTGAGATATCTAATGTCCTTTTCAGAAGCATCTTGTCCCAGGAATTGCCTCATCACAAGCCACCCACAGAGTCTCAGCCCCTTCACCGTCTCTAGCCCATGGAGGAATTTGAAGCTCTTCATTAAAGGCCCTCAAGAAACCTAACGTGGCCGGGTGCGGTGGCTCACGCCTATAATCCCAGCACTCTGGGAGGCCGAGGCAGGAGGATCATTTGAGCCCAGGAGTTCAACACCAGCCTGAGCAAGAGTGAGACCCCATCTCTACTAAAAATAGAATGAAATTAATTGGCCAACTAAAAATATATAGAAAAAATTAACCAGGCATGGTGGCACGTGCCTGTAGTCCCAGCTACTCGGGAGGCTGAGGCAGGAGGATTGCTTTAGCCCAGGAGTTTGAGGTTGCTGTGAGATAGGCTGACACCACGGCACTCTAGCCTGGGCAACAGAGTGAGACTCTGTCTCAAAGAAAAAAAAGAAACCTAGAAACCTAGTGTGCTAGCTGATCTCGTGCCATTTGCTTCCCCTCTCTGAGGCTGCTCTTCCTACCTATAAAATGAAAGGGCTGGGCTAGATGAACCACCATGGAATCCTCCAGCCCTGATCTTGTGGTAATTTATAGGTGTCAGCCCAAACTTGGCACCTTTCTGTACTAAGCATGTGCCAGAACACCTGAGTTTGCATCATCTCTAATCCTTTCAGCAACCCTCAGTAGAGTAAATCATGATGCCCATTTTATGAGTGAGGAAACAAAAGCTTAGAAGGGAGTTAGCCCGAGACCAAGCAGTTGGAGACACAGCTGCGATGTGAACTCAGGTCTGCACATGATCCGAGCCACAGACCCTTGAAAGGGAGAGAGAAAAACCTCACCCCAGCTAACCACTCCAGGGAAGCTGGAACGGTGGCACATTTCTTGTTTTATGACTTCCAAGTGAAGGGCAATAATAATGCCCTTCGTTCACAAAACGTGGACGTCATGTGACTTGACTCCTATCTTCTGTACCTTTTTATCAGCGTTGACTTCCCCGAGATTAATGAAAGTGAGCCCCATGTGTGTCCAGGGCAAATCCCAGAACTCTCCAGCCTTCAAGGAAATGACAAGCACAAAATGAACCTATTCGACTTGAATATGCTAGTCACTACCAACAAACACTCAGAAGTAAACACATCAGCATTTTCTCCCTTCTCATAACAGGAGAATGCTTTACCCAGACACTACAGCTGTGGTTCTCAAACTCTGGAGGGCATGGCGGTCACCTGAGCCCTATCACCAGAGGTTCCAATCCAGTAGGTCTGCGGTGGGCCCAGGAATCTGCACTCGTAGGCTGCCCTGGGTGGTGCTACTGCAGGCGACTACCCATCATTCAGCAGATGTGTAATGAACACCTACTATGTGCCAGCCGCCGCACTAGGCAGCATGGATAAGTCAGGGAACACAACCGCCACCATCCCTGCCCACGCTCTGCTCAACACAACCGCTTAGTAAACTTTTGTTGAATGAAGGAGGGAGGTAGGACATGGGTCTTGATGAACACTGAGGTTTCTTGCCAGCCACCCACAACTCTGTGATTCTATGGCCCAGGCCAGGGAGGGAGGTGATCATCTGTTTCCCAGCTTCTGTCCGGGAGGCAGGGACTCAGGCCAAGAGGAACTAAAAAGCCACCTCCTTTGTATTGTTAATTCTGAATGCCATCTCCACCTCCCATTGAATGACAGAACTATAGAACTGTGGAGGGGCGGTGGAAAGGTGTTCTCCATGGCTTCATTGCACAGGGAGAAGAATGTGGCCGAGGTCACATTCCTTTCTGTGACAGGGCCAGGACTAGAAGCCAGGTCTCCAGATTGTGTGCGTGGTGCTCAGGTGGCTTCCAAAGTATGAACTTCTCCTCCTTTGGAAAGACATCACTTAGATGTGTCATTTGAGGGTCATTTTGGGGTGGGAGCCTTCGGCATGTGATGGGCACGTGTCCATCATAAGCAAGGCACTTGTTTGTGTTAAGCAATGCCTGCTTCTTCCTGTAGGGTTCACCTATGAACTCAGCCATACATTTGAGGGAAATGTGTAGGAGATCATTTTCTCTTTCATATGCTACCAATGATTAAAGGGT